TGGAGAGTGGAGACCCCCACATCACCCGCTGCCGTGCAATATAATGTGACGGGGAGATAACGACCACCAACGCCCACTTGTCCTCCTTTTGTCTCGCCGTCAAATCTGTCTGCAAGGCCTAGCCTCCAACCACCCTCCGCCGTACGACGCCGGCAAAACATCCTGCACCCACTAATGGATCGGACTTCGACGTGCCCCCTGGCCATACTGAACATTTATCTAGCAAAACCCAGAAATACTACACATATTCTCAAGCCAATAAAATCCAAGCATTTGGATTACAAGTCATGCTACATTTATTTCCCATATCGTAACAAAAATAATACTCCATGGCCAAATGTGAATATTGTTGGAGAAACATACATTCAATACTGCGATATCCAAGTGGTTTGTTGTCCCACATTATTTTTAAATGGGTCTTTTACCGGAACGGAGCTAGAAAATTATTTGAGTGGGGATGGAGTTTAAATGACTATAGAAATGTCAATTACAAAATATCATACAGTTATAATAAGGGTAAAATACAAAATACATTATAAATTACAATAGAATGTTTTTTATAGATTACACAATAGTTAGAGCATAGTCGGAGTCAAAAATATACTTGAGTGGGTAAAAATGTGAAAATATTTAGGACGAAATATGAAACATAATCAATTAGATAACACTATATTCATAAATACTTTTTAATTTTAATTTTTTTTAGTTAGATCAACTTTAAATTTTTCTGAATTAATTCAAATACAATGAAGTATAATATAGTTGTATACTACATTAATTAGATGATTCATAAAATGTAAACTAAAAAAACATTTAATTCGTTAATTAAATTATTCATAAAAGTAGACTAAAAAAATATTTAATTTAACTGGGAAGGAATGAAAGAGATAAAATAAACAAGTGAAGATAAGAAAAAAGGGTGTTAATGAGGTTTGAACCTATAACCATATAGGTTTTAATAATTAATATATCAAATTTAGAATTCAATTCAACTAAATAAGCTACTTAAACTATTAATATATATATATATATATATACATACATATATATATATATATATATATATATATAAACATAAATATAGATTTTATATATCATTTAATGCTATATATATGTATATATATACATACATATATATATAATGCGGTGGGGTGGAGTGAGGGGAGTGGGGGCAGCTGCCCCCATAGTAACTCCGTCCATGTCTGTTACTCACTTTTTAAATAACAAATTTTTTAGGGAAGGTTGAAATATTTTGGAGAGAAAGTAAGGGGGAAAATGCACGCGCCGCCCGCTTGACTTGGCTCAGTTTGCATGCGTGTGGTGTGCCACCATTTTTTATTCACCCTTTATTTTATTTTTTTGAGATTTTCGTCCATCCAGAATAATTATTTTTTGTAGAAGTTTTTTCGTCCAAAATAATTTACATGGCCAGATTAATCTTCTTATTATTTTTCGTGGTCAATGTTCTCTCTTATGTTCTGCCATTTTTGCTCTGTTTATGGCTGAAATTGGGTTAGACTAGTTATATTTTAGACTATATATATCGTTTAATCTTGAACACAGAATAAGCAATTCACTCCTCTCCACCTCTTCTTCTCTCTTCTCTTCCGATCCATCTGATTACAGAGTTAGTCAATTATAATCATGAAATTAAAAATATTGTGTACATTCTCATTTTTTACTCTTAACTTCTACTCCACTATTAAATTTTTTATGTGAACACTTTTCTATAACCTACATGATGAAAATAGTCTTTCGTTGTTTACCACATCAAAAAGTAAAGTGAGGAAGTAAGATCTAAATGTATAATTAGTAGAACTCTATGATCATGAAACAAAAGTGTAAAGAACTCTTTTCCCAAAAGTGTAAATGACTCTATCACGATCATTGCTTACTTTCACGTACAACGTAACTATCATATGATTAATTACTTAAATTTATTACCACCTATTCAGTTCCCGCCCTTTATTTTTTGTATTGAAGATTTTAGTTTACCTAAAATACTAGTTCTTAATATGTAAATACTAAATAATATGGATTAAGATGTAATATTCGATAAATATCAAATAAGAATAAATTTTACTTTTTGTTTTTGACTATTATGACATTATTATTGTATTTAGTCATATTATTTTAATTTTATTTAATCACATTCTTGACTTTAAATTATTTGTCACAATTAATCATTCATTTAAAATCATTACGGGAAATTATGAAATTTCCGACCACTTGAAAGTGATCTTAAATCAAGTTGAAAGTCTTGTTCCGACCACTTTTGGTATCCAAAAAAACTTTTGTTGTTATTTCTGACCACTTTTTGGACTTTTTGGTATCAACTTAATTTAAGATCATTTTCAGGTGGTTGGAAATTCCATAATTTCCAGTAGTGAATGTTGCTATTCAATTGTTTAATAAAAAAAAAAGTTAAAATGTAATTTAAACCTCTTGCCCAACATCTAATTTCTCTCACTATAAATAGGAACATCTAATTTCTCTCACTGGGATGAAGAAAATTTCGAGAAACGAAAAATGGAGATGGCGATACCCCGCCCCGTCCCCAAATTTTATATATATATATATATATATATATATATATATATATATATATATATTACTTTTTAACTTAAGACTTAGGTTTTAGTTTTTAAAATTATATTAAAAATTACACTAATTAATTTAAGATTTTGACTAAGAGTGGAGACGAGGATGGAAACGATTTTCAATTCCCTGCGGAGATAGGGACGGGGACGCGGATGGAGTCAGGTTTCGAGGACGGGGACGCGAGGAGTATAGTCCCCGCCCGATTGCTATCCATACTGATAAACTCTTATAATTGAATGATGAAATTGCATGTTAGTATTTTATATGTTAAATTTAAATGGATGACTAATTGTATCAAGCAAATGAAAGTTAATAATGTAATGAGACAAAGTTTTTTTTTTTTAAACAAAAAAAAAAAAAAACTAATTAAATATGATAATACCATACTGTATGGTTATAAGTAGTATTTGTAATGTAATTATCATTACATTCACCACCAGAATTACTCAATCAATATAATCGCAACACAAATTAGTATTATTTTTTTTTAGTTAATACCCAAAATGGTCCTCGATTATAGTGATTTTCTCAATTTCGTCATAATTTAAACGATTTTGGTGACCTAATGTAGTCTTAAACTGTTGTGTTTTTGTTCAATTTAGTCCTCCGTTTGTTGTTCCGTCAAATTGGTGTTAAATAAATGGACAATTCAGTAATCTCAATATTGACTTTTCTTTACTCTCAGACTTGCAAAGTTCAAAATCCCTCTTTCTTTTACTAATTACTCTTAGACCTGCGAATCAAAGAAGATAAGAAAATATATGGTGGATTCATGTGCATAGTAACAATAGTGGAAAAGATAACGGAAGTTATAATAGTAAGGTTATATTTGTCCAAAATATTGTATAGTACAACTTTTATTACATAATGTACAAAAAAAAAAAATTTAACGGAAAAAATTGACATAAATGAAGGGTATAACCTTCATTCACACTTATTATGGAGTAGTTATGCTGTGCATCCGTATTCACCATGCATGGTGCATACGGATGCAAAAACGACGTCGTTTTATTAAAAACGCGCGTCTCCCCTTAAAAAAAAATTCAGGTTCGATTCACAGCAACAACATTATGTTGTTCATTCATTCTGGAATTTTAGTTCATAGATTATGGAATTTTAGTTCATTGATTCTGGAATTATAGTTCATCGATTCTGGAATTGTAGTTCATCGATTATGGAATTTTAGTTCATAGATTATGGAATTTTAGTTCATTCATTCTGGAATTTTTAGTTCATAGATTAGATTCTGGAATTTTAGTTCATAGATTCTGGAATTATAGTTCATCGATTCTGGAATTATAGTTCATCGATTCTGGAATTTTAGTTCATATGTTGTTGCTGGGAATCGAACCTGAATTTTTTTTTAAGGGGAGACGCGCGTTTTTAATAAAACGACGTCGTTTTTGCATCCGTATGCACCATGCATGGCATGGTGCATATGGATGCACAGCATAATTTGCCCTCTTTGTGAGGGAGAATTCTGGGATAAATCGGATTCAATTCCCACAAGTGATAATTTCCATTGGGTCAGCTTCTGTGCCTCTCAGAGCGAATCGGGTGGACCTGGACCGTTAAACGGACAGAGAAAGACCCGAACCACATTGTGGTTTACATCAAAATAATAATAATAATAATAAGATGGGAATGAGAACGGGGTGTTTGGTTCGCTAATTTTTTTCAATAAACTAGAAATCTTAAAAGTGGAAGAAAATTAAAATATGCTTTGTTTAATTCATGGAATTTTTTTTTTTTCAAATGAACTTGAGTGTAACAATCTAAAAATTTCATTTTATAAATTCAGTATTAAGAAATCTTAAAGTAGTTTTTTTCACTCCATTAAAATTTTTTTGCGATCAATCGGTGTTTAAATAAAATAATTTCGTCACATTTTAAAATTAATTCGACACCGAAGACATGAATTCTATTCGAAAATCTCTAAGTTTCCGGGTACTTCGCGTACCAAGATTTAACTCGAGAATTTTTATCTGAGTGAGACCGGGAGAATTCAAAAAGGATTTTTTTTTAACAAATGTTCATCCATATAGCTTTTGAGAAAATTCACTTTCAACCCCAAAGTAATAAAAAATAGCATTTCTAGCCTATGGTTCATGTTGCATGGTGGACCACAAGACATCCAAAATCCATTCTTGATTCATCTTTTAGCTTGTGGAATTACCCCTTTGCCCTCAACCAATCATTGTGAATCATCCTAAGGTTTTGAACCCTATATAAACCACCTTATTTCATCTTATTTTCCTGATCTCATTCTTTGCCTCTTCCTCACCATTTTGTTTGCCAAGAACAAGAAGAGAATCAACACCATAGTAAGCTTGTTCATCCTTCATTTCTAGCCTCTTTTCTCTTCTAGTTTCCTTTAGTCTTTGAGGTTCTAGGCTAAGGTAGAAGGTGTGTTTGGGAAGTGTAGGTGGTGAAGGAGGCTCAAGCTAGGTAAAAAGGAAGAAGAGATCCAAGCAAGAAGAATATACTACAAGAGGTATAACCCCATGGATTCCTCTTTAAATTTGGCTCTGTGAAGCCTTAGTTTTGAGTAGAAATGAGTAGAAACTATGAGTTTTTGATGTGTTCATGCTTAGAAGTGATTTAGTATGTGTTTGTGAGTTGTTGAGATTGTTTTGGACATTTTGGATGAATTTTTGCAGGTGAAACATCATCTGGTGCACAACACAGTGTGCACCATATCAGAGGGGCTACCCTAGCCGCGGCCCATCAGAAGGGCCGCCGGCTAGAGCCGTGGTGGCACGGGCACTAGTACAAAATGGAGCAAAGAAATATAACTTTAGGCTACCCTTTTTTAAACAAGGGTAGTGTGTTGTTTTAAAAAAAAAGGGACGGTGGCATAATTGTAAATAAATCAATAAGAAACCGCTACCCTTTCTTAAAAAAGGGTAGCGATTTTTAAAAAATAAAAAGACGGAAAGAGTTTCCGCTACCCTTTCTCTTAGAAAAGGTAGCGAATAATTATATTAATTTTTAATTAATATAACTATCCGCACAGAGGAAACCTTATCTGGAAAAAAAAACAAAAAAACAAAAAACAAAAACAAAACAAAAAACCCTCAAAACATCTCTCTCACCCTCACAACGACAGCCCTCAACGCCTCACCTCACCACACTGCCGCTACGCCTCACCAGACCTCCGCCGTCGACATCGCCTCCCGGCCTCATCCTCCCACGACGCCGCTGACACCACGACTCCCTCAGCCTCGATCAAACGTCGCCGCCGACACCAAGCTAAGGACTCCAACGAGATCTGGAAAAAATAAAAAAGCACTCAAACCAGATCTACCACGACTACGCCTCACACCTCAACCCTAACACCTCTCCTCACCTCAAAACAGATCAGATCTGCCATTATTGTCCTCGCCCTCATCACCTCTCCTCACCTCCGCCATTGTCATCGTCCTCACCACACCTCTGCCGTCGACACCGCCTCCCACAACGCCGTTGACATCGCCTCTCTCACCACCACGGCTCCCTCAGTCTCGATCAAATGCCGCCGCCGACACCAAGCTAAGACTCCAACGACGCCTCTCTCATCAGCCACCAACAATGCCACCGCCACAGTTCTCGTTTCTGCGAATTCCGCCACCGCCCACACCGAACTGAACTACTGAAGTCGTACGCATGCAGGTATTTTTATTTTTTTTTTTTGTTAAAATTATTTTGTATAATTCTAATTATAATTGTAATAAATATTATATATTATATATGTTAATTTTTATAAATTTTACTTCAAATTTTTAGTTATTTGTTGTTAATTTTTTTTTGTTATACCCTAATATGTGTAAAAATATGAATTTAGTTGTTATTGTTGTTATTATTTTTGTTGGGATTATATAGTAATGAGTGCATATATGGCATATATGAATAATATGAGTAGAAGTATCAATTTTGGTTATGAATTTTGATTATTATTATTTTATTTTGAATTTTGACATTTTTATTTTGAATTTTAATAAATGTTGTGTGAGATAGGTATTTTGGTAAATTGTTTATTTGATTTAGATATTTTTAATTGATTATAATTACATATATATATTTTAATTATGAAATATGTTGTTTGATGAATAGATTGATTTTGATGTATTAAGAATAATATAATATATAAAATAAAATATATAAATATATAATATTGAAGAATCATTTAATATTAGTTGCAGAATCATTGCTTGATATCTTAAATTGCAGGTAAATAACACAATATTTGAAAGTTGTAATCATTAGATAAAAAAAATACACTTTTCTTGCCTAGTTTGCCATCATGATCAGAAGTGCAATGGAATGGATTATAGTTCCCTTTTTAGCACTAATCTTCTGTTTCATTTGAGGTTTGTGCAAAGTGCAATGAAATGACTTATGATGGTTAGTTATCTTGGAACTCATGTTTCCTTGTATCCTCAAAGTTTGCTTGTAGGAACCAGATTATGCCATCATCTTGTGTTCTGTTTTTCATTTTCTTCCCGGAATCTAAACATTTCCACTTGAGAGGTCCGGTTTTTGTAAACTAATCATCATATATCATGCATTGAATTGAAGTGAGTTTGTTTTCTTGTTCTTGAAATTTTAGCATGAGTTATAATATGTTTTTTGAGAGAGAGGAATGTTGGAAGATAGTGGTATAATCTTTTATCTGCATTACCTAGTAAAGATTAGCTCATTGGGCATATAAGTGAATCTTTGGACTTTATGCAGTTGCATTTTATTACTTTTCACCCCAGTGTATTTTATGGTAACAAACCCAAGAAATATGTATGTAACTAAGTATGCCCTCAGTTTCATTTTGATTTTTGCACTATACTACTTTCCCCAGGGTCACATAGAACAAGTATTTCTTCTTCTTCTTCAATTGTTCTATGAATTCGAGTCACTATATATCTCGAAGCTCTAAAGAAGATGTTATCTGATGATATGATATACTAAAATTTTGTGCAGTTAGAGGTGTCTACAAACCAGGCTTTGACTCAATAAATTTCTCAGTTTGGTTTTCCTTTGAAGATACTTTGTCGAGTTGTGAATCTTCAATTATTGGTACATTGTTCTCTCCATTTTGACCAGTTTGATTGGGTTTCGTAATTGTTAGTAAATTTTCATTGTTTTCTGGCTTTGGATTGACAGGCAGAAGCAGAGAATGATGAAGTCTATGCACAGATCACTTTACTCCCAGAGGCAGATGTAACAAATTACTCAATCCATTTTGTTTTTATTGGTATAGAGAATCTGCAAGCCGAATTATCAATATGATTGTTATATTCTGTGTTTATGTATTGTGATTGAAATTAAATTGATAATTGTAGCAAACCGAGCCCAGCAGTCCTGATGAATGCATCCTGGATCCACCTAAGCGGATTGTTCACTCATTTTGTAAGATTCTAACGGCATCAGATACAAGTACTATGGAGGGTTTTCTGTTCTCCGCAAGCATGCCAATGAATGCCTTCCCCCCTTGGTAATTTTTAATATTTACGTTTTCCTTTATTTTATGTTCCGCAATTATTATTTGTTTTTGAATTGGTTGGAGTTATAATTATTGATTGTGATGTGATAATGGTACTGTGATTTTTCATTTTATTTTCTTTTTCTCCCTATAATAGGATGAGGGCAATGTAGATGCTGAGCACATGGAGGAAAGATGTTGATGGCGAGCTAGCTAATATAGAAACACTTAACTACGATGATTGGATAGTGTCTCTAAATTGCAGAAGACCCAGCGTTATATCAATATTATGCAGGTTAGCAGAAATTTGTAAACTTCATATTTTCAGCAAATTGTAGTTTACATCATTGGGTTGTCAGTAAGATATTATTTTACAACTGTACATCTATGATGTCCCTATTTCATGGATTAATTTCCAAGAGCCTATGTCTGTATTTGAGATTTTGATATAAAGTATTGTATTGATAGTATTTGGTTAAAAATACGTTGATAATATTGTGTTAATATATAGTATGTTGATAATATTGTGTTTTAATAGTTTGTTGATAATATTGTGTTGATGGTTAGTATTATCTTGAATTTCATACAAGATTTTTTTTAAAAAAAATTGGGGGATTTAAAAATAAACATGAATTTCTTTTTTTTTTTAAGAAATTTATTACAATCTGCTACCCTTCTTTCGTAAGAAGGGTAGCGGATGATTTTAAAAAACTAATACGTTAATATTATTCGCTACCCTTCTATTTAAACAAAGGTAGCAGATGCTCAATGATAAGTGCATAATTGTTCATATTTATACCCCATGTCTACCTCATATTTAACCTTGTTTTGCTTATGAAGTGTCACAATGTTGTTCAAAATGATCTTTATTTTGCTCATTTGATCCATTATGCACAATTCATTATCTTTGAGTAGAAATGAAGGATTTTAGATCATGTTGGATGCATTTGGAGTCAAGGGGAGCCAAGATGAAGCTAAGGAGATGGATGCAACACTTCCAAAGGAGCAAAAGAGTGTTGTTTTCAATGGTGTTGATCATATGGACAAATTAAACCAAGGCAAAAGTGGAACAAGTGTCAACAAGCTGAAATTCTCGCATGGATTGGCCACTGTTCTGTTTTCGGGCCATATCTCGGTCTAAAAATATCCAAATTATGTGATTCTTGTCCCATTAGAAAGAAGACTCAAAGATCTACAACTAATATTCAGACATCAAAGCCTAAAAAGGAAGCCACAGGGTTCATAATTATCCTTGGAGTTGAAGTTCCAAACTTACAATCCAAAACTGACCACTGTTTGGTTTTTGGACCATATCTAGGCTTAGGAATGTCCAAATGAAGTGATTATTGCGCTATTGGAAAGAAGACTCGAAGGGATACAACTTTCATGAAGACCATAGTTCTAAATTCTGACTTTTTGTAGGCCAAAAGACACGGCCAAGTGCACGGCCGTGTCTGTGGCCGTGTATTTTCTGTGCATTCCAGTAGCTACTGCTGTTTTGGACACGGCCAGGGACATGGCCATGTCCCTGGCCGTGTCACCTCTGCTGCAACTTTTTATAAACTACGTTTTTTGTCATTTTTACTTTATTTTGACCCATGGTTGAGCCCTAGCTTCTCTCTTTCACTTCCTTTCATATTGTAGTGTTAGATTAGGTTTAGATTTAGGTTTCTTAACATATTTCAAGCTTGTAATCAAGGATTCAACACTTGGATTCCAACATTTCAAGATTCTACCATCCAATTTCTTTAGAGAAGTGTTCCTTCCTTTTATCTCTTTATTTTGCAAGATTTATGCTTATTACTTGTGTTTATGTGTTCTTTATACTATTTAATCATGAGTAGTTAGTTTATTGACTTGAGTTAGGGTTGTATTATCTATCTTGATGCTTGATTTGTGATTATTGCAAAAAATGGGGAAGAACACTACCTAGGGTTCATGTGTTTATGAAGGTGTTGTGTTTATATCTTGTTAATGTTTGATGTACACATTCATTAGCTTGTTTTTGGAGGATTCCTTGCCTCAACGAGAGTTGAGTGATGAATCCAAGCCACCCCTTGCATAGACCCGATTTCTTCCTACCAAAATAGGGGAAATTGGGGGCTTTAGATGCTCTGTGTGCTTGATGGACTTGGAATTGATTCACCATGAAAGTGGGGCAATTCCTTGTTCTAATCCTTGTTTATTAATCATGAGAATGGTTCGTAGACTAGGATACCTTTGTGCATTCCCGGTTGACTCTTTGTTATTTGTTCTCCCTAATCCATAGGTTGTTAAAGCATCTAGATGATAAAGCTCCCTAACTTGAGTTCTATTCCTTTATTTTGTGTTTCCATCTTGTTCATGTGTTTTTGTTATTTTGTTTAGTTACCGTAGCCTTAACCTTGTTATGATTTGCTTAGCTTCTTGTTGATTTTCTTATGCTAGTGCCTAGTTTCTTGTGATTGCATATTGCGTGCCATAACCCCCAATCCCCTGAGGACGACATTACACACCCGTACACTCACCACATCTTATTTTTGCTACACATCACTCAACTTTTCGCTACCCTTGTAAAAGGGTAGCAGAAAGCTCAAGGCTTTCAGCGTCCCTAAAATTCGCTACCCTTGTACAAGGGTAGCGAATAACCCTTTACAAGGGTAGCGGATGTGCAAATCTGTACTAGTGGGGACTAGGGCACGACCTTAGAGAAGGGTCGTTGCCTAGTCCCGGCGCTTTAACGGGGCTTCAGGGGCGGACCATGAGGAGTCCCGCCCCAGGTCCCTGAGTATAGTCTGTGAAGGTTTTTGTGCAGTGGTCAGGCCCTTGTGGCTCAGCTACGTGTCGTTTCGGACCGAGTGTTACGAGCCCTTGTGGCTCGGCTCTTCGGGATTATCTCGACGCACGTTTTGGCTTTGATTTCGTTGAATTTGAATTAAAAATGAGTAAGATGTGAAGGATTTGTTGAAGAATTTCCACATAGTGCATAATTGCTTAGTTCTCTGTACATGAAGAATGCTTGGCTTTGTGATCTGATGATATTTTATTGAGTTAAGAAGCATGATCATTTGAGAATATGATTTATTATGAAAGCATGACTAAATTGTGATATTTGATCAATGAGAAACAAAGCATATTTTGTTGAGTGAATTATATAGAAATTGCTATGTTGCAAACCGAGCATGATGTTATATTCTTGAATACTTCATGTTATTTTATACATGGTTTAGAAGCATGCTATAGAGCATTTTGGCATCTTACATATGTCATATTTCAAAAATGCATAAGGGGCCAACGTGAGCCCAAGTATTATTTTCAAAAACCCATAAGCATGTGATATATCATTCTTTGATACATTGAGAAGTAGTAGAGTTGTTTGCATGCATGAGATATATATTTATGTATTATCTATATCGGTGAGGTTTTGGAGGATACCGTTTGGACTATGTTCCTCTCGGGAGATATTTATGGACACCGCGGTCCCAGTATATGTAACGCGGCGTATTCCCACGTTACGAGGTTGGAAACTTCCCGCCAGGCTTGGAATCCTGGTTAGGGGATGTGCACACTAATAGTTAGATACCTGATTCCACAGAGTTTGAACCATGAGATTGGTTCTGTAAACGGTAGGAGATATTGGGTCGGAATTATGCCATTCCCGATGGGGTAATTCACACTTTTGTGAAACCCTAAGCCATCTACGAGTATAAGAGAAAGAAAGAGAGTAAACAGAGACTCAAGAAAGAGAGTCAATAGAGTCTCAAGAAAGAGAGTCAATAAAGACGAGAGAGAAAGAAAGAAAGTCAAGAGAGACTCGAGAAAGTAACAAAGAGACCTCCACAGAAAGTACTCTAATTTATAAAAGAGTGTATGGGTATATTATTGCATTAGATCACATATGATTATGAGTATATTATTGCACTAGATTGCATATGAGTATGGGTATATTGTTGCACTAGATTGCATAAGACTATGATTATATTGTTGCACTAGATTGCATAAGACTATGATTATATTGTGCACGAGATTGCATATGAATATGAGTATATTATTGCACTAGATTGTATATGAGTATGAGTATATTGTTGCACTAGATTGCATAAGAGTATAATTATATTGTAGCACTAGATTGCATAAGAGTATGATTATATTGTTGCACGAGATTGCATATGAGTATGAGTATATTGTTGCACTAGATTGCATAAGAGTATGATTATATTGTTGCATGAGATTGCATATGAGTATGAGTATATTGTTGCACTAGATTGCATAAGAGTATGATTACATTGTTATGCTAGATTACATAATAGTATGATTATATTGTGCACGAGATTGCATATGAGTATGAGTATATTGTTGCACTAGATTGCATAAGAGTATGATTATATTGTTGCGCTAGATTGCATAAGAGTATGATTATATTGTTGCACGAAATTGCATATGAGTATGAGTATATTGTTGCACTAGATTGCATAAGAGTATGATTATATTATTGCACTAGATTGCATAAGAGTATGATTATATTTTTGTACGAGATTTCATATGAGTATGAGTATATTGTTGCACTAGTTTGCATAAGAGTATGATTATATTGTTGCACGAGATTGTATATGAGTATGAGTATATCGTTGCACTAGATTGCATATGAGTATGAATATATTATTGCATTAGATTGCATAAGAAGTATGATCATAATGTTATTCATGATTGCATGCGAATAGAGCATCGTTAGAAATTGTATAACAAGAAGTTTGACTTAAGATACTCCTTGAGCATGATTATTGTGTTGTATTAGAAGCTCTACTTATCAAGTTATGTGATAAGAATGTGAAAGCATGTAAACACCTGTTATATGGTCTTTTAACTTGATCCAATCCATAAGCATGTGTTGTTTGTTAAGTTATCTGAGAAGTTTATAAGCTGTTGAATCTATGTGAACAGTCTTGTACATACATAAACATGCCAACTGATATTATAGGGTGCAAGCATCTAGAAAGAATGTGATACATCTTGAGATGATTTGAGATTTGCTTATTGTTATTAAGATATCGAATGTTTTCAAAGTATATACTAGAATGATTTACAGGGTTGTGTGTGGTTATACTTAGCTTCGTGCTAACGAGTGTTTTCCTATTTGTCTATGTGTTGCTTGCAAAACCCCTTTCAGGTGGGCCCAGCAGTGTGAAGAAGTCGAGTTAGATTAGTCTCGTAGATAGAGATGTCTAAACTCTAGTACCTTTGATGCTATGTATGGATTGTAGTTTTATCGACTTATGTTTGAGGATTGATGTAGACTGTTTTGGGGTGACGTTTTTCCCCCTTATGCTTTCAGTATTTATTTTTAGTACACAGACTTAATCTTATTTGTAGTTTTACCCCTTTTAGCCTGTGCAATCACCAAAGAGTGGTGATTGTGGCGGTGACATCCCACTATTTATCTTTTAGTTTTCCGCTGCTTAGTTATGTTAATGACTGTTTAGAGATGTATTTAAGAATTAGAAAAGTGGGGTGTTACATTAAATTCCTCAAATATGAGGAAAATATTTTCTTTAGTTATCTTAGGTATCTTTATTTTCATGGCATTTGGGATCAAAGTTCAACCTAGCATGATCAAGCTACCCTCATATGACTTGATTGTATTGAGCATAGTTTGGAGATGGAAATTATTAAATAATGCTTATTTAAATATTTCTATAATATTTATTATATTATTATAATAATATATAATTATAATATATTAAATTTCCAATTTTTAAATTTATAATATTTATTATTTTAATTTATAAATTATAATATTTCATTTATAAATTACTACTACTTTTATTATTATTGCTATTGCGCCGCCTAGCTAGGGACATGTTGATCTTTATACACATTATTCTTTACTATTTCAAACTCAACCGAACAATGAAATTAATATTTACAGTAATTTCTTTTTCACTAATTAAACATTGAACCAATTTTCTCAGTAAAATTTTTAAATGAAACTTAAATTTCATTTCTTCTCGATTTTTTTTTTATGAACCATATAGACACATATATATATATTTTTTACGAACCATATAGACACATATAATCTATTTGATTCAGAGAAAAATATTTTGTTTTTTTTTTCAAATTTGGAAAAAAAAAATCATATTGTTTGGTTGATAGAGAATTTATTCTAATGGATATTGAATTCTTCAAAATTGAGGAAAATGAATCATTTGCTCTCCATGGTATTTTATTTTTCACATATTTTGTGAGAAAAGTTATTACATGAATTCTTATATCATCCTCACGTATTATTATTATTATGTAGGGGCATTTGAGCCTTTATATTAATTATTTCCAACAACTTATTCACCACCAACCTAAACAATATAATTTATAATAAATAATAAGAGAAAATTTTAATTTTGGTCATATGACTATAGGGGTTTTGTCTGACTTTCAAAAGTGTCAATTTAGTACCTTGTCTATGCAATTTTTATCAATTTTGGTCACTTCGGTCAAATTACTGGCCAAATTTCGCCGAAAAATTTTAACAGTTAAAATAATGAGGGTATTTTAGTCATTTCACATTTCTTCCTTCTTCTCCGACGAATTCATTTTTTTCGGCGAATCCGTCGCAACAGCACACCTTCCAAAGCATACTTAAACTCATTCGTCCAAGCCGTCGCCGACGATTTATTAGGGTTCAGATGGCCAAAATTCTGGTTGAAAACATCATGCTGTTTGTATAAGGGGAGCTTGAGATATCAGCGGACCTAGAAATCTCTGGACTGCACTTCTCTTTGTCCTCGTCTAGGGCACCTCCTGCCAAAATTCTGGTTGAAAGCTTTTCCGGCCAAAAAAGGCTTGCTCGAAGAAGAAAGCGAAATGCTAAAACTCATGTTGATGCCGATTTATTCTAAAACTTCTCTATATCAACATTATGCTAAAATTGATGTTGAATAAATACTTCTTTTTTTTGATAACGTTGAATAAATACTTCTCTTTTTGGATAATGTTGAAAGCATCGCAGCGCACCTCATCCTCGGATCCGCCGGAAAAGATGAATTCGTCGGAGAAGAAGGAAAGTGATGTAAAATGACAAAAAAATACCCTCATTATTTTAATTGTTAAAATTTTCTGGCGAAATTTGGCCGGCAATTTGATCGGAGTGACCAAAATTGATAAAAATTGCATAGTCAAGGTACTAAATTGACACTTTTAAAAGTCAGGTGCTGAAATTAACAAAGCCTCTATAGTCATATGACCAAAATTGAAATTTTCTCTAAATAATAATATATTATTTAGCAATTAATAGAGTCTTTAGCCTCTTCAAAATTGATCCAGGGTCAGTGAGTCACTTTGAAAGACTCGAGACAATTTTGTTAGACATAAAAGTATATGTTAAAGTTTTATTTATTGAGTTTAGATTCATTATTGTCTAAGTTGTTGGATTGTTTTGTGACTAAACTAGGTATATTTTGGCTATTTTATTCCTGCCTAAGAATTACTAAAAAGGTAAATCGCCAATGGCTCAAGTAACCTCCCAGTCAATCCTTATCGTTGATTTTGCGTACAAGGATTTCATCTCCATAGTTGATAGTTTTACCAACTTGAAGTCCAAACTCTGACTTGGAAAGCTTAACTTCAAGATGTTGATGAGAGTCAAACCCTACCTTGTGCGCTGAAGCGATAACTTAAGGTTATGTGTTCTATTACTTGAATTAGCCCCGCAAGGCCATTCTCTATTCTTTTCTGCCGACCAACAATATTTTATTTTATTTTATTTTTTAAAGAATACATTAATTTTTTTTTTTTTTTTTTTAAAAAAAAAAAAACTTCTTTTTGTAACCAAAAAGGCCTTAGGCAGTTAGGCATTCTTCATGTGAACTATCGTGTGGACAGTGGACCCTCCAAAAATTCACTGGTAAGATTTGATAATAAAATATCCACTTTCTGGATCTTCTTCTTTGTTACTCCTACTATGTATCTACTGCTATCAATAAATGCGCAGAAATGAATATATGATCGCCAGTGTTCCCATTTCCACACAGTATAATAACAGCTTGAAAAAATGCAAGTGGGTACTTTTCTTCTCATTTCTGCAGCAATGAGTCAAACTCCCTTTGATACCTTCTTTGATTTGCTTAAACTTTGCACTACACTTGGTGGTTGACTAGTGTGTGTGCGTCCCTGAATTTGATGCTCTCTCTCTCTCTTTTCAGTTCCATACACCAAAGGGTTGGCAGTCTGGCACTGTGTTAGGTGGAAGGGAAGGGGCTATTTTGAATTTTCCCAGCAAAGCTCTAATCTTTTCGCGTTCTTGCTAGTCTTCCTGGGGTTGTAAGAAGGCCAGAATCGGAATCTTTTGTTTTGAGGGAGAATGAAACTGTAATGTAATAGTTTGGCTAATAACTTAAAGTTATTGCCTTATTGGGACTACCCCTTGGCCCCTTAGGTAACCCCTCTGATTGGTTCAGACTCAGAGATCAAGATTGGGATGTGGGTCTTTCTGGTTTGATGAAATTGATGGAAATCCCTGGAAAGTGATTGTGTTTGGTCAGTTCTTTGAACTTGGGTATTATTTTTAGGATTCAAAGGTTCTTTGTTTTTTTTTTTTTTTTTGGGCTTTGGGGTTTTGCTTTTCAGTTTCCACTCGGCCTTGATTGTATAGGTTGTGGGTGCACTTGTTTAAAAGTTTTTTGCTAATCATTTTCTCCATTTTGTTTAGAAACATAGGAATCTTGGAGAAGAAACAGGCACTGTTTTTGTAAATTGTTGTGGTTGTGCTTAGGGAGAAACAATATAATATAGGGAGGAGGGGAAATTTAGAATGTGGTCAAATTTTGAAATGTTAGATCTATACCTGTGACAGATCATTTAGATTATTATTATTTTTTTATTGGGTGTAAGAGGGAATGAAGGATTAGTGGATTACTCTGTTTTGAATTTTGGTAGATTGAAGCTTTTTTATGTGGATGGACTGAGACAATAAGACAATAATCTGCAATGTTGAGGTGGTTGTTTCTTGCATTGTTTATTGCCTCGGTTTTTGTTTCTGTGTCAGCTATTGATTGCCACTGTGATGAGGAAGGAGTGTGGGGAATAGAGAGCATTCTAGAATGCCAGAAAGTGAGTGATTTCTTGATTGCAGTTGCTTATTTTTCGATTCCTCTCGAGTTGCTGTACTTCATTAGCTGCGCTAACATTCCTTTCAAATGGGTTCTGGTTCAATTCATAGTGTTCATAGTGCTGTGTGGATTGACCCATTTGCTCAATGGATGGACTTTCAGTGCCCAACCTTCCTTCCAATTGATAATGTCTTTGACGGTTGTGAAAATCATGACTGCCCTCGTCTCGTGTGCGACTGCAATCACGCTGTTGACGTTGTTCCCGCTTATTCTCAAGATCAAAGTGAGGGAGATCTTCTTGAGGCAGAATGTTTTGGAGCTGGATCAAGAGGTTGATATGATGAAGAGACAAAAGGAAGCGAGCTTGCACGTTCGTATGCTAACACGAGAGATTAGAAAGTCGATTGATAAGCACAGGATATTGTACACTACTCTGGTTGAGCTTTCGAAAACTTTGAATCTTCAGAATTGTGCGGTTTGGATGCCAAATGAGAAGGGAGCGGAGATGAACCTGACCCACGAGCTGAACCCCGGTGCAGCTCGAGAAAAGTGTTCCCTTTCGATTAATGATCGAGATGTGGTAGAGATAAAAAAGATCAAAGGGGTGAGGATTCTGAGGCAAGATTCGGTTCTTGCAGCAGCGAGCAGTGGCGGGACTGGTGAACCAGGTGCTGTTGCAGCTATTTGGATGCCATTGCTGCAAGTTTCGAACTTCAAAGGTGGAACACCCGAGGTTTTTAGCCCTCGTTATGCCATTTTAGTCTTGGTTCTTCCGAGCACTACTGATCATAGTGTTTGGGGCAATAACGAGATGGAGATAGTGGAAGTGGTGGCTGATCAGGTGGCTGTGGCTTTATCCCACGCCACCGTGCTTGAAGAGTCTCAATCAATGCGGGAGAAGTTGAAAGAGAGGAACCATGTGTTGCAGCGAGCGAAAGAGGATGCCGTGAAGGCTAGCCACGCTAGGGATTCTTTCCAAAAAGTGATGAATAATGGGATGAGGCGGCCAATGCACTCAATCCTAGGCTTGCTTTCCATATTTCAAGACGACAATATAAACCCCGAGCAGAGAATTATCGTCGACACAATGGTGAAAGCCAGCACGGTTCTCTCAACTCTAATGAGTGACGCAATGGAGATAACCGCCAAGCACAATGGGAAATTCCTCGTCGAAACTAGGCTCTTTCACCTACATTCATTGATCACCGAAGCCTCTTCCATTGTGAAGTGCATGTCCGTTTACAAGGGCTTTGGTTTTTGGGCAGATATCCCAAATTCTTTGCCTAATCAGGTGATGGGCGACGAGAAGAGAACATTTCAGGTCTTGTTGCATATGGTTGGGCACTTACTAAATGTCAGCGATGGAAAGGGCTCTGTCATATTCAGGGTGGTTCAAGAAAGCGGAACCGAGGAAGGAAATAATAAAGTTTGGAATACAAGAAAACCTAGCCCAGCTGATGATTGGGTAACGATTAAATTCGAAATTGAAGTCAGTGTTGAAGGATCTCGACCAGACAGCTCAGTTTCGACAATTCATTTCGGTGGTGGCAGTCATAACTGCAAAGATGTAAAGAAGGGCTTGAGCTTCAACATTTGCAAAAAGCTTGTGCAGGTTAGAATTATTGAATTCATACACGGATAACTAGTTAATTTTTTTGAATGCTACTGACTCTATTACATTGTAGTATCTGTTCAAACATACTTTCTCAACCTAATGAAGCACAAAGAGCCAACAACGCCTCCACAAAGGCTCGAACTAGTTAATTAGTTGTGTTTTAATCTTCATAAACAACCTATTGCAAGTTGATATTTCATTGCAAATGGAATATTGTGAATATGTGATTGCATAATTTATTAGAGCAAATTCCACTTTTAGTTCTCGACTATTATTGTATTGATTTCTCTGTGTTTTGGAGTTGGTCATTGTATTCTTTGCACAAAACGGGGAGAAACTAAAGATGTCGTATAAGTGAGAACATACTTTGCTCGAAAGTGGTAGGAGTGTCAAACTTAACTATGTTCCCGTGAAGGCTGCACTTGGAATTAGATATCTCTTATAATCTAAGATTGGGTCACTCAACTCGGTCTAGATTGGAACAATGTCACTCAATTGGGCTATAATGCATATGGGCCAAACCACACTAAAAGACTGAATCCATATGTTCTCTCTTATATTGTTCTCATCTGCTACTGCTTGATTCGTGTTTGATCTCTTTGTCCTCGATGGTCTGACCCTGCAGATGATGCAAGGAAATATATGGATGTCGTCGGATTCTCAGGGTCGGGCACAAAGCATGACACTGATTCTCAGATTTCAGAAGCAGTCGTCTTATAGAAGGCGTGTCTTCGAGTGTAAAAATCCCCGGGAGAAACAGCTTTCGAGCCCTACGTTTGAGGGGATTCAGGTGCTCCTAGCAGACGATGACAATGTGAATAGAATGGTGACTAAGAAGCTGCTCGGGAAGCTAGGCTGCAAGGTGTTTGCTGTCTCGACTGGTTTTCAATGCTTAAGTGCTCTAGCGCCCTCGGGAGCCTCTTTCCATGTCATCATCCTGGATCTTCACATGGCTGAAATGGATGGATTTGAAGTGGCAACGAGGGTTCGGAACAACTTCCGGGGCCGGGGTAGTCGCCCCTTGATCATAGCCCTTACAGCAAGCTCAGAGGAACATGTGTGGGAGAAATGTAACCAAGTGGGGATGAATGGTTTCATACAAAAACCTGTCCTCCTTCAAAGACTATCAGATGAGCTGCAGAGAGTCCTACATTCTGCCCGTGAAGGCCCAAGACGATGAACCTGAGGGCGTTACGCTTCCCATTAGACCGCCAAGCCAGCAAGGCAGCAAATGCTCAATTGGTGAGGTTCTACCACATACAATTTTATGTTGGGTTGCAGTCTGGTTGGCTTATTATGTAAGATTACTATCATTCTTTCTTCTTTGGAAACAAATGAAGGAATAGACAATGTTGAACATATTTTTCTGCAAACTTGCATTCTGAAGTGTTTGTTTCCTGGTACATCCTTTGGAGTTAAAAAGAAATAATAATTTTTTTTTAAAAGAAATGGATGTGAAGATGGGTTGTATATGTTCTGTTTGTTTTTTACCATCCTACTTTGATTTACGGGAAAATTCACAGTTGTTACTTGAAGATTCTTTTGAGTAAAGTTGATCTCTTGACTCTAATCAGTAAAAGATTATAAATGATAAATTATTTTAAATTGTATAAATAATCAACTTAAATTAAGAAAGTCAATAAATAATTTCTATGTGGAGTGAAATTTAAAACCTTATTTTCTACCATGTTCTATAATCTATATATGTTGGTTCTTATTCCTATTTCTTCTTCTTCTTCCTAGAATCCCTCTTTTGTTTTGGATATGTGATGATGCCAAATGCTAGGGATTCTTATTATATTTATTGGTTATAAGCGCAAAGCTATTATAATTCTTTTAATTTGGTTCCTCAATTATTAATCATTTACTCTCTCATTTTTATTTTTTTTTTTAATTTCAGTCAATATGGTTCACCAATTGTGTATGGTATTGTAAATATAATCAGTGTAGTCTCTCAATTGTTCTATTTTTTATTTTATTTTTTTGTAATGTCAGGTTTCAATTAAAAAATTTGAGAAATTATATTGACTATATTTATAATTCGAGTACTAAATTTATAACGAGATAAATAACTGTGAGATCACATTAATTGAAATTAAAAATTAAGGAACTAAATTATATTATAGTTAATAATTAAACGAGTAAAGGTGTGATTTATTTTTCTTTATTTTTCTTTTTTAAGCTAAACATTTGCAAAAAAAAATAAAATTATAATTTTATTAAAAAAGAGTAACATAATACAGTTTCTATTATTCGTTTTCCAGTTTCAGTTTTATGTTTTCCAATTTATAAAATAGTGATACTATTACACCACATGGTACTTGAACAGATAGTTTTATAAATTTTCATATTTGATTATTTGACTATTATACATAAATTATATTTGGTTAGATTATTACAATTTTTTAATTAAGTGCATAATTATATAATTTGTATCACACCAAGATTATGTGGTCTAATGGTATCCGAGTTGGACTTCCATTTATAAAGTTGTGAGTTTGAGTCTCAGTAGAGGTGTTATTGGTTCTTTGTGTTTCAGTAGGTTGAGAAAGTATATAAATAGATAAATACATTACATTGTAATAGATCACATTTGGTCATGACATTTAATTCCATAGGTACTCGAAGAAGCAAATATGACAATAGTCTGGAACCAATTCAAAGTGTATCTCGAGCGTAAGTTACAATTCCCATTCCCTTAGAAATTTTCTATTGTCCGAAATTATAATGTCACAACAATTAGACATGTTTTAAAGCTAGGTTGAGTCTCCAATTCTCGACGTTCCAACCCTCGAGAGTGGGAGAGAGATGAAATCAGCAGAAAACTACTATTCCAAGGATTTCGAATGGGAGCAACTGAAGCAAGACGTAGAGAACGACCCGTCTCTTCTCTATCACTTCACCCCTTACACTAACCCCGCCACTGGAACCCAGGATCTTGATCCTCCTCCTCCTTCTTCTTCTTCTTTGCCAAAACAAGATTCTGAAGCTTGGAATAAGTTTCATACCCGTCATTCTACCGGAAAATTCTTTAAGGTATCACAGCTTATATGTATTTGTATTGTATTCCATCTGTGTTAAGATATGACATTTAGACCTGGACTAGAATTTTTGAGATGTTTTGGGGTCTAATTGAAATGGGTTATCTCTGATTTTCATTTTTTTTTTTTTTTTTTACTGTTATCCCCAATTCTGATAAGATGGCAGTATATGACAAAGTCTCGTAACAATGATTTGATCTTTACTTAACAAGGGGCTTGTGATTAAATTTTCAATGTGAACAAGCAGGCTTTAGGAATATTTGTTCAAATAATAAGAATTTGGGGCTAACCCTGGGCAACTTGGGCAGTGATTTGGTAACCAGGTTACAAGTTTTACTCCCAAGCGGTCTATTAGCTTTCATGGTTTGAGTAGGTCAGCTATAGGTAATCTAGCGAAGTTGGTTAGACCATTGACTTGAAAATCAGGTTACAAGTTTAACTCGAGCGGGAGCAGTCTATTGGCTTTCTTGGTTCGAGCCAGTTAACTATGGGCAATCTAGTCTGGTTTATTTACTTGTGGTCCTTTTTTGGCTAGGGTACACAAAGCCAGGGGATTACAGTGCACACCTTGAGTAGTGGCTGCGAGTTTCTCTCGTCACTCAAAAAGAATAATAATAAGAAGAAGAATTTGACATGATAGTTGATGTAAGAATGTTTATTTTGGAGATCTTTCTCAGGTGGATACCTTGTGTTTAGGGATAAAGAGGTAAAAATGAGGTTTTGTTTCATTTGCCCCTCTTTGATAGTCTGATATGGCTTACCAACTGTTGTTCTTTCTCTTGATGACATATGAGTTCATAATTATCACCCTAGACTGATTTGGTGTTTTAAACTCTTTCTTGTTAATCAATTTTCTTTTAGTTGCGTTTTTACTACATTGGAAATCTGTCTTTACTAAGTTCGGTAAAATTAACTAGGCTTCTCTTGTCTGAACTTGGTCAGGGAACTTTCATAGACTACTTTGCCTTTTTTTTTTTTTTTTTTTTTTTTTTTTTTTTTTAAATTTTTCTCATGTCATGTTTTGTTAGTGTTAGCTGAAGACTTATCCTTCCACACAGGAGAGGCGCTATTTGCTCAAGGAATTTCCTGAAATAGCCTCTTGCGATAAATACTCTATAGTCTTGGAAGTGGGGTGTGGTAATGGCAGTACTGCTCTCCCAATTTTACGGTAACCACAAACTTCAATTTAGTTTTAAAATTTGCCAACTTTTCCGTCTTGATTTTGAGGGTTCCTTACTTTTAGTACCTACTGAGCTGTGTATGGTATGCTTCCCTGAAACCTTAATGACATATTGCAGCGGAAATGAGGGCATATTTCTTTATGGATGCGACTGTAGCGGTGAAGCTGTTCAGAGGACTAAAGAGAATATAAATGCTGCTAATTTGGCATCAGCAGATCATCGCTTCTACCTATTCCAATGTGATTTTTCTGCAAGCAGGTTTCCTCGGTGGTTGATCTGTAATTCTTGTCGAGAAAGTTCATTACCCGAGCGACGTGCTTGGTCGCCAGGTAGTTAACCTCATCAATTTCTTGTGGATCACTTGGAATAATGTTTAGGGAAAATTGCATTTTTCGTCTCTAAGTTATAAGTTAATTGTAGGATTCGTCTCTACTTGTTGGTTGTGCTCGTCGTTTTTCTAACAAGTCGTGCTTGCTTTTCATCCCTAAGCTATAACTGACGCAAATTTTGTCCCTAATGTTTTGTTAGAAAAAGGACGAAATTTGCAATTCTAGTTATAGCTTAAGAACGATAAGTGAGCACGACCAACATGTAGGGACGAATCCTACAATTATCCTATAACTTAGGGATGAAAAGTGTAATTTTTCCTAATGTTTATTACTGCAGATATATTTCATTTGAGATGATATACAATACTCCACCGAGACAAAACGAAGGGTTTCTTTATTTATGTAATTACGATTTATGCAGATTCAAATTGCAATTGGAAGAGATATTTTCCAGATCCGTCATGCTTAGTGGGGAATTCTTGTTGCATGGGTGGCGTAGATTTCCTTACCTTAGTATGTGCAATCTCGGTTTACAATTCAATTAAGAGTTTCACAAGGAAATTGCTAAATTTTGAGTATTTCTTGGTATATGCTAACATGCAGATATTTACTCTATCGGCCTTGCCTATACATAGGATGCCGATTGCCATCCACGAGTGCCTCTCTGTTTTGAGACCGGGAGGCTTGCTCTTATTCAGGGACTACGGTAATTGCCTAACACAGTATAGCATAACTCTTTCCTAGTTAGTTTTCCCGGAACTTCTGAAGAACTCTAAGGTTTATAAACTCAGGCCTCTATGATATGACCATGCTCCGGTTTGAACCAGAACAAAGAGTGGGATTCAGGGAATATATGCGGTGTGATGGAACCCGTTCTTATTTCTTTTGTTTGGAGAGCGTCAGGGATTTATTCTGCAGTGCAGGCTTCGTTGAGGTAACTAATAACGCAACACAGCACATCAAAATGTACATAGATGCATGTTGGGCAGAGGCTTGTAACATGCCCATGCCAAGTCCAACAATTGGTGGCTAGGGGGATTATTGGCGGAGGCTGGTGAAGGGCCAAGTCCAGCACCTTGCCTGTCGAAAATGTGATGGCGGTATAAGGAAATAAAGTTTCGCCTTCGCTACTAGCTATAGCTTTTGGCTTAGTGATAAACGCTTGATCTTAACAAATGGTATCAGAGTCAGGTCAGGTGCTGGGAAGGGGAATTGTTGGGCGGAGGCCGGTAACGGGCCAAGTCCAGCAATTGGTTGCTAGGGGATTGTTGGGCAGAGGTCGGTGGAGGGCCAAGTCCAGCACCTTGCATGTTGAAAATGTGATGGCGGTATAAGGAAATAAAGTTGCGCCTTCGCTACTAACTATAGTTTTTGGTATAGTGGTAAGCATTTGATCTTAACAATGCAAAAAGGATTTCTCATTCTTTTCGTATTACTTAATAACCCTTTGAGCGGCTCTACAGGTCGAGCTCGAGTATTGTTGTGTCAAGTCAGTGAATCGACGAAACGGGAAGAGCATGAAAAGAGTGTGGGTTCATGGGAAGTTTCAGAAGCCATGATTCAGATTTCTTGTTGAAGGAACTGTAGCCATAATGTTGCTGTAGTAAATTAAAGATGAAACTTCATGACCAGTACAGATTAAGAATCTTTTAGATTTTGATGAGTGGTACAGATTCGCAGGATTTTAAATTTTAAGGTTTAGATTGCCTTCCTAGATTAAGGTTTCTCAGTTTTATTCTTCTTTGTTTCCTTTGAGAAGCTTAAGTTAGCAAACATGCAAATAGCCAAACACTACCTAAATTGATGGCTAGGCAACAACAGTTGTTCTAAGAAAAATGCTTGCTGCATTCAAGTGAGGATAAATAAGTAATTTTACATTTACTCTTCTTTAAAAAAAAAAAATCTTTTAGTTGACATGATACGTTTTAATTTTAATTGATCCATAGAAAAATATGTCATAATTTTTATTCAATTCCTCTACTTCTTTGGTTGACTCGTCGGTCTTTAAAAATTAGAGGTCATATGCAATAATTCAATTTAGATAATATATTATATAATTTCAAATATAAAATAAAGAATATAATATTTATTATTATTTTTTTTGTCAAAATAAGAAATGTTAACAATGAATATTAATTTTAGACACTTTTCTTTTAATAAATTAGTGGGCTAAGCCCATGGCTTGCTAGGGACGGGCCTATAAAATTCAAACCTAACCCCTATCTTAATAGGCAAATTATATCATGCACAGGGGTGCATAATCGATTATGCACCGCGCATCAAAACGACGTCGTTTTATTTAATGAAAAGAAGCGGAATCCGTTTTGCAGCGTTCCGTAAAAAATAATTATGTTCTTCAGTTTCATTTTGTATATACTGCAGTTTCAGTTCAACACAACTACAATTTCATTTTGATATAACTACAGTTTCATTCAATATTTATACACTCAAATATGTGAAAATGTTATTTAATTTTATTTTATATACACTATAGTTTCATTAAAACACAACTATATGATCATTTTGATATAATTACAGCTTCATTGTACGATATACACTCAAATATGTGAAATGTTATTCAGTTTCATTTTATATATACTGCAGTTTCATTTCACCACAACTGCAGTATCATTTTGATATAACTATAAAAATAATACGTGAGCCCGTGTCGGTTTAGATACACTGTAGTGTCACTCCGTTAACATTAACAGCGCGCCGTTTCTTTACTTAAAGAAACGGCGTCGTTTTGATGTGCGGTGCACAATCGATTATGCACCGTGGTCCATGATATAACGGCTGATCTTAATAGATGGGGTGCGGGCTTGGCAAGCAAAGCCCGTTTTGATAACTCTACGTCTCTACACATAATTTTTCAGAGTAACTTTTTGATTTACGTAAAACTCAACGATTGTTACTCGAATGTGCACTTGGGTGAACCTCGTTTTGTAACCCTAGTCAGTAAAGATCTACAAGGATGTAAGCTAGTCTAGATTGCTCATAGCTGATTGGCTCAAATCGAGAAAGTCGATAGACATATCTCACAATTAATTGAATTTGAAACATTGTGAAATATCATTCTGACTTTGTTAAGTAGGATGTTTTTTACTCGCTTGAGTGCATGTAACGTCATTCATATATATAATGTTCTTCTTCAATACTATCAAAATTGTTTGCCTATATACTGTCATAGTATTTTTCATCTTTATTATCTTTTTAGGAATTATAATTCATTTTGTAAGATGGTAAAAAAGGTTGTCAATGATGTTTAAATGGCAAAGTATTAATGTTTAAGATTTCAATTGAGTAGAAACATAAATTTTGAACTTTTAATTTGATGTCCAAATTGAGTATGCAATACAATGGAAGTGTAATAAATTTGAATCCATGCATATCCGATGAGTGGTTAATAATTTAATTGGGTGGAGATAGCAAAAGGCATGTTAATTATTAATTCCACAATCACTTAGAGCATCTACATTTGTGGATTATATGGAGTTATTTTAGAATTAATTCTCTCCACCCAAGATAATAGCTAATGTGGGGAAGAATTATTTGAGAAATAATTCTCCTGCAAATGAAGGGAGAATTCAGAAATGGTGGGACCCATCACAAAAAGTAAAATAAAGCACCACTGGTCCCATCTTTTTTTTTCCTAATCACTCTTACATTATCCCCCAATTCTCCCCAACAAATGTGGATGCTCTTAGTTAATTGCATGCAGGGACGGAGCCAGGACGGAACAATGCGGGGGGGCCAAACTACGATTGAAGTACTAAATTAAATACATTGATATCCCGTTAACATATCTCAAAATAATCATTACATTACAAATTCAATAAAGTTTAGAATAAATTATTTATAATTGAATCTATATTAAATTATTTTGCAATATGCTTTTCAATGCACATTACTTTGCATTGTACGGTTGAAAGAATGAAAACATTCACGCATGTTTTAAAAGACTATTGATTATTTCTTGAAAAACCCTCTTCACAACATAACATAATAGCAATTGTTTTCTCAAATACATATACTACACAATTGTTACATTATTATGCATTTTAAATTAAATACAAAATTTATCACACAACCACAAATTTACATAATTAATCAAACAAATGCACTTGATATCCATGATTTAGAATCAAACAAAACAATTATTTAAGATAAACAATAGAATATGAAACAAAAATTAACCAAACAAGTAGTTATAAATAAAAATAAAAAATAAAAATTAACTTGAAAAATATGCATAGATTTTGTTAATGACAAATTATCTTATTATAACGTATATGCCGCATATATGCATGGTTCTAGGCAAAGAAACAAGTAAGTAGGTTAAATGAAATTTAATTTGAATGTGAGTCAACAATATATGGAATACATAATTTGAAATAGTAGAGAATTGAAAAAGTTGAGAAGATGAAAAAATTTATAACTTTACCTGTAAGATTAATTAAGTGGAGGGGGGTCAAATATTTAAAAAAAAACAACAAAATTTTAAAATTCTATATAATATTTTTTTAAAAAAATTTAATACATATATAATATTAAAAAATTTTGAGGTAGGGGAGGGGGGCCAAGGCCCCCCTAAACATACACTTACCTCCGTCCTTGATTGCATGACACTTATATAAATTGGATTTAATATGTTTTAAATGACACTTTACTCAATAGATTATTCTATTTAGACTAGTAATATTACTCTACAAAAAGAATTTGAAATTAGTGCAAGGTAGATATGTTACTAATTTCACAATCACATGTCAAATTGTATGGACGTACACTTGTTTGGCTTGGGTATAACTCATTTGAAATAACAACTTAATTTACTCAAAAGACGACTCTTTCTGAGTAAGTTTGAAATGACAATTTAGTTTAAAATATTAATTCTTTTTGGACTAACTAGTAATTCACCCGCGGGACGCAAAAAAAAATTATGTTATTATAAATATAAATAAAAAATAGAAAAACTAAAATATTTTAAATTGTTTAATATAATAATATTTTTGAGCTTCCATTGGTCAAGTATTTATTATTTTTATAGAATACAAAATTAAAATTAAAATTAAAATTTTGTATGGTTAATATAATCTCTAATTATGTGCATATTCAAATAAACTTATAGAGAGAATTTACATAATTACATTGATTTATTCTTAATTGTATTTCATCTATATTATAATTTTCACAATACGAATAATAACTAAGATAATTACATTTGAAAAGCAAATTTCAAATTTTGTATGAGTAAATTTAAACTCTAATTTGAACACATTTTTTATATGATTATATAATATATAGCTATTTTATTTTTCAAATGTTGTGTTTTTTTTTTTTTAATAATAAAAATATTGTGGCATTAATTGTAACATTAATTACTTCCCAAACCATATAACTTTATTATAGTAGTTAAGATTTGAAATCGATCACAATTTAGTTTAATACAATACTATTCTTTTTGGACTAGTAATATTATTATGGTGGAGTTGGTGGGAAACATATTCTTTTTGGACTAGTAATATTATCATGCTGGTGTTAGTAGGAAACATGTACGTTATTGACTTTACAACTACCTATCTAATTGCATGACACCTGTATGAGTTGGTTCTAATCCGTTTAAAATGACAATTTATCAAAAGACTATTCTTTTTGAACTAGTAATATTACTTTGCAAAATGAAATTGGTGGAATTAGTGAGAGGCGAACACGTTACTAACTTTGCAACCATCTGCCCAATCACATGACACTTGTGTAAGTTAGATATGATAAATCCATTCTAAACGTTACGTTACTTAGCCACTTTTTCATAATTTAAGGTAAACTTTTTGGAATCCTATGTTTTGAAAATTTTCCATACTTATACGTTACTAATGGAAAGTGGCTTACCTTTCTTTTAGTTGCACAATACCACTATATAAACAATGGACTTCATTTTGGACTAGTATTATTACCTTGCAAAAAGGATTTGGTGGAGTTAGCCAGATACGTTACTAACTTTATAACCACTTGTCTAATTTCAGGACATTTGTATAAATTAGAACGTACATGTTCTAAACTTTACTCATTAACTTTTTCATAATATAAGGTGAGCTTTTTAGAACCATAATTTTAGAGTTTTTCTCAACATATACCTTATTATAGGAAATGAGTCTACCTTTTTAATTGCATTATATTGTACGGCCACATAACCAATTGACTATTCTTTTTGAACTTGTAAAATTACCTTGCAAAAAAAAGAAATTGGTGAGAGACATGTAAATTATTAACTTTACAATCATCTATTTAATTCAATGATTAATACTTGTATGAGTTGATTCTAATCCGTTTAAAATGACAATTCATCAAAAGACTATTCTTTTTGGACTAGTAATATTACCTTGCAAAATGAAATTGGTGGAATTAGTGAGAGGCGAACGCGTTACTATATTTTGCAACCACCTGCCCAGTTGCATGACACTTGTGTAATTTAAATTAGATATGATCAATTCTAAATGCTATGTTATTTAGTCACATTTTCATATTTTAAGGTAAACTTTTTAGAATCCTATGTTTTGAAGTTTTCCATACAAATACTTTACTAATGGAAAATGGGCTTACCTTTTTTGTTTTGTTTAGTTTTTTTCTTTTTTTTTTTTTTAGTTGCACAGTACCCTTACATGAGGGGCAAATTATAATGTGCAACTGTGGTGCACACTGTTGCAAAATGATGTCGTTCCAAATTAAAAAAAAAAAAGTTTTTCCTTTTTCATTGCCGTTAACCGCGTTAGGCGGTTTCCTTTCGCATTCAAACATTCCATTCTCTCTTTGCAAATCGCACAGTTTAGAAATTATGAATCTACTGTATTTAAATTATGAATGTACAGTATAGAAATTATGAA